ACAATTCTTATTATATAATAACTTTTGGAGTTATAATAAAAAATACTTCTTGCAAAATTTTAGTATAAACTACAGTTAGACCTCCCTATAGTCACACCCCATATAGTTACATCTCTATTTAAGCACCCAATTTTGTATGACAGACTCAAACATAGTAAAAAAACCTCATTATAGTCACAAATCGCTTATAATCACTATTACCATAAAAATTTGATTTTTTAATAATTTTATTATGAATAAACCCTTATTATAGTCACCAATTTTTAAATAATGCAAGCAATTAGTCTAATTGACTACAAAGTTCACACGTACAAAATCTGTAACAAGTTATATCAATTACTGAATCAAAAGAGATTAAGTGCAAATTTTAATTTATTTTATATTCAATATTTAGTTATACCCATATACCTAAAATTTCATGTCGAGAACATTTGTTTAGAAGTCAAACTACAGTTATTATAGTAAAATCTTGAGTTATTTACAAATTTTCTGTTTTCTCAATGAGAAAACAGAAAACCATAAATAACTCTATGATAACCGTAGTTTTACTTCTAAACAAACATTTTCAACATGAAATTTTAGGTGTATAGGTATAACTAAATATTAAATATAAAGTAAATTAAAATCTGCATTTAATTTCTTTTGATTCAGTGATCGACATAACCTGCCACAGATTCAGTATATGCATAAATTATAAGGTATTAATAAAAAAAAAAAAATTTTTAATTGTTATTTTTTTTAATAAATAAATAATATTTGAAGCTTAAATACAATTAATATAAAGATTAACATCAATATAGATAAAGTAAATAAAAACATGTAATTTTATACTATAAAATAGACATAAGCCATTTGTGTCAGTGAAGTTTTAAATATACTGCTGCTATCTAATATTAATTGGAATATTTATCTAATATTTTAAAGCCGTAATTCAACACCATAAACCAAGTATACTATAAACAATATTAATTAATATTTATATTTTGTTTATAGACTATAGATTTTTGATTTTTAATAAAATTTTTATAATCACTATTTATAATTTTTAATATAATAGTGATTATATAGAGGTTTAGATTTATAGTTACACCTTTCTATAATCACTATATTAGGGCATGACCAACTTGGTGATTATAGAGAGGGATGACTATATAATCTTATCTAACTCTAAAGCTACTTTTACCCTAACTTTAAGCTATACTAATTTTTCATTTACAATTTATATCTTAAGCAAATTTGTAAATTAATAAATTATTGTTTACTTTTCAAATTTGGACAGTCTAGTAGAATGCAACCATGTGTTTATTTACAAACAAATATAGTACTACTTTATAGAACTCAGCCTAGAAACTCTAATTACAGCAGCAGGTGGCTTAAGATATAGGTTCGTAAATAGCAGCAATACCTGGCTTGAGATACAAATTAAAACAGGCAATGGATTCATCCAAAATCAGTAGGAGGATCAGAAAGTTAACTTTAATGCCAAGGCAGAGCTTTACAAAAGAGATATACAAATGGTGTAGTTGTATATAATTTTTACTAACCATGCACAAGTTATAATAGTGCCTTTAGAGTTTTAGATTTTTTTTTATGTTTTTTCTTTTTCAGAATTTGTGTTTTTTTTTTTTTTTCTTTGTTTGTTTTTTTTTTAGTCATTTTTGTAGTTTCTTAGTTTAAACTTTTTCCTTTTGTCTTATGCTTCTTGAGAAGAAAGAAGAATTGGAAAGAAAAAGAGGTTCTGAGATGGAAGCTAAGCCCAGGCTAGACTGTATCTTTAAATGCACTACATTGTATATAGAGTATAGTAACCAATATCAGTGCTATAACCAAGATTGGGTATTTTTAATAAATAGTCAGCTTTTGTTTAATTACCTTGTTAATAGCCTAAGTATGTATTTGTTATAACACACTACAATATTTAATTAAAGAAAAAAAAATTAATAAATTAGTATATGGGGTTTTTGCCTTGAAAATTGAGTTACAGGACTAGTAATTTTTTTAGAGTAAACAGTAAATAAAGTTTGTATAACCCAAACAACTCAAACCTGATTTTTCGCTAATTTTAGATATGATCTTTATAAAATTTTTTATCATTGGATAAAAATTAATTTGTGTAATGATGCCCATACGAAATTGATGGTATCTACTATAGTCAATCATTTCTATTCTATTTTTAGATATTAAAAAATTTTTCGCCAAATTTTCAGACTTCCATAACTCATTTTAATATTAAGTTAATCAGTTATAAAATTTGCACAAAATGAGCTTTATGTTATATAAATTAGGATTTAGTAAAAATCTCAATTTTGGTTTGGGAATCTCGGAACTCTATTTTCAAGGCAAAGACTCCATATGTATATATATACCTGGTGTAAATTAAGAAATTTTCATAATATATATAATATAAAATTGATATAATAAGCATGGGGACTTTCTCTAATTTCGGAAAAGCTCGGGTTTATCATGTGGGAATTGGCCAATCAGAAACAACCTCTTATGTACATGACATTATATTTATTAGATAATCGTTAAACTCAGTGAATATTTTCGAATTTTAAGAAAAATCTTTTATACTCAAGTATACAGTATATCAACTAATGCGAATAAAGAAGTATAGTACTATTTCGTCTTTTTTTTGGATTGTTTAGTATAAATGCTTACTTTTTGAATACTGTATGTACTGCTTCATCTTCCATTAGCAATCTTTTCTTGCAGCTCCTCTAGCATAATATACTAGCAATACTGGGCTTATATAATTTATTATGGAAGTGAATACGGTATTACACATACTCTTCATATATGATCATGCTCTTGTTCTTGATCTTACTTATATCTGCTCCCGTTATTTAATTCTGAAAATTCTTTTATTTATAAAGAGTAAAATGCAGATAGGATTCTTTGAGAGCATAACACTTGTAAATTGCTCAAGCTAGTTAATTTGCTTCAGATAAGATGCATATATTACAGTCTCTAATAAATATTACTATTGTATAAATGTTTAGAACTGCATTTATAATTTAATTTTATTTTTTTTGTGGGTTTCAAATATTGAAAGTAGGAATCAGATAAGAATCGTTTTTGTGTAGAAAAAAAATACAAATACTGTAATTGCATATGCTAAACAAATGTGAAGATTCTTTTCTTTATCGACAAATTATTCCACTGATAGCTCATTAAGCTGATATAATATATTAGGTTTGCTTTATGTGATGTCGACTAAGAGTGTTTTCAAGCACTTCACTTAATGGATAGCCTGGAATTGAATAAATTAATCATTTTGATGAGCATATTAGTGCCATCTTTTTTTTCAAAAATTCACTATTGATAAAGGTCACTTAAGCATTATGTTTATATTTTTTTCATAATAAACAGTGAATTCTTAACAAATTCCTAAACGATCTAAAATAATAAACTTTGTTAACCTTACATATTTCAGAAGTTACTGTAACATACTCTATTAATATATGCATTTGCGAAATACTTCAAAATTTAAAAAATTTAACTACTAATACATAAATATAGGTTTTAACTGAGATAATCAACATTCCCCAAGTTACAATGTGTCATTTAATAAATTCTTATGTCTAATGAGGAGTTGGAAATGTGTTAGCATGTGGAAAAGATGGGTTGGGCGTGTTATTTAATTTGGGTAACCAAATGCTTGAATTTGGTAACAAATTGTCTGCTTAATTTCGCAAATGCACCATAATTCTTCTTTATTATGGACCTTTTATAATGAATGAACTAAAAATTTTAACCCTTTATTAGTTTTGTATAGAATATTACATATTTCTGTTATGTTTTCAATTCACAAGAAAACAAAAAATATTCAAAGTAAAGAACGACTGACAAAGCATGTGTGAAAATTTTCGTTCAAACCAAATGCACTATACGTACCAAAATAAAAGAGATCATTGTAGCTAGCTAATGTACCATCAACCTGGCATGCATTCAAGAATTGCTAGGAGAGATAAAATCTATGATCAAAAGTAAGAATATCTGTCAGAGTAAGTCACAGACAGATAAGCAGATACGGATAAGCTCAAATTTATCTAAATGGATAGTCAAATCCAATCGCTAGGTAGAAGATGGGTTAGACATTATGTTGTTATGAATCTGGGTGCTAAAAAAATTAAAGTTTAGTTTAATAAATAATAAATTTATAATCAAATATTTGGGTCAAATTAATATAATTTACTACCCGATAGTCAATTTTTCCAAAATTTAGAGTAGTTTATAATGGTTATACATAAATTAAACCTTAAAAGGTAGTTTCAGAAGACTTTGATAATCAAAATGAGCTACAGTACATTATGATTAGATAAGCAGATAGTCAAATAATTAATAAATAAAGTAACTAGAAAATCTGATTAACAATATAACCAAATGATTTAATACTATTTTTATTTTGTCATATTATTTCTATTCTGTTATATTATTTTTATTCTGTTATATTATTTTTATTCTGTCATATTATTTCTATTCTGTTATATTATTTCTATTCTGTTATATTATTTCTATTCTGTTATATTATTTCTATTCTATTTTATTATTTCTATTCTGTTATATTATTTCTATTTTGTCATATTATTTCTATTCTGTCATATTGTTTTTATTCTGTTATACTATATTATTTCTATTCTGTTATATTTTTATTTTGTCCTATTATTTCTATTCTGTTATACTATTTTTATTCTGTTATACTATTTTTATTCTGTTATTCTGTTTATAGTATTCTGTGTAGGATTTTAAAAAATATATAAACTTTGCTTTTTCTTCCAAGATATTAAAATATTTTTTCTTATATTCTTTTATATTTAATAAAACAAATATTATACTTTTATTTTTATAGTTTTTTCTTGTTTATACACTTTGCATAGTAGTTTTTTATTCTTGTTTTTAGTTTTTTTAGCCTTGTTCTTTTTATCTACATTTTTATCTTTGATACTTTAAATATAGTTACTGCTACCAAAGTGACTATTTATTTTTTTTTAAAAAAAATGTCTCAACAAATAAATTGTTCATTCTGTTTAAAATTCATTACAAATTATAGAAATATTACAGATGATCTTAAATTTAAAATTGATAATTGCCCTGACAAAAGATATTATCAAGAACTTAAACCTAAAGTTGATAAATTATGCTCTAAATGTTATATGAAAATTATAAATTCTTATCATCATCAAGTATTTGCATTTACTGATGAATTAAATAATTTAATTTCAACAAATTGAATGGAAATAGCTGAAAATAGTAGATCTAATACTTCTACAAATTTAACGGAAATTAGTAATTTAATAGAAACTAGTGAATCTAATAGCTCTATGACTTTAATGAAAACTAGTGAATCTAATAGCTCTACAACTTTAATGGAACCTAGTAGTTTAGTAAATTTAATAGGATTAATTGAAATTCAAAAAAAAGAGTTAATAGAAAATAATTTAAATGAAATTAATCAACAAATTACAAATATTACAATTAATATAACTGATAATACAATTTCATCAGATAAAGAAAATTTTAATCAATTAATTAAATTAATTATTCAAAAAGATTTAAAAATAGAAACATTAAATAATCAAAATAATCAAAATAATTTAATATTAACTAGTTCAAATAATTTAGGTAATTATTATATTTTATTATTTTATAATATTAATATTAATACTAATTATTTTAAATATTAATTTTTTTAAGTTCAAAACTATTCATTTTCTTAGCAAATAGAATTATTAACAACTATATTATTAAAATATCAAAAAGAAAATAGTGAATATTTATTAGATCCTGAACAATTTCAACAAATGATTGAATTAAATGAGCCAAAATTAAAAGGATTTTTTGATGAAATGATTAATGCATTAATTTCAAAAAAAAGACTTAGCAAAAATATAAAAAAAGCAAAAAAACAAGTAGTTGGATATTGTTATCTTTTAGTTGGAATAAGAAACAAATTTGCCAATAATTTTAAATTAGATCTTGGACTTTATTTACAATCATCAGGAATGACTAATTCTGGAATTAATATTTTATCAAATATTGGACTTAGTGTTCATACAAAAACACTTCAAAGATATAAAAAAGATATTGCAAAAGCTCATTTAACAAAACTTAATGAATATTTTAATTTAAATGTAAGTTATAATAATTTAAATTTTTGTTTATTTTTTAATTCTAAATTTATTTAATTAAAATAAATATTTTTTAGTCAAATATTTTTTATTGTTTTAATATTAATGATTTTCATGATATCCATGGAAAACATAGACCAAATACAACATCATTAAGTACTGTAAATCATATGGCAACATGTATAGCAAAACCAATTATCAATACAATTCTGGCTTTGGCAATTATAAATAATAATTTATCATTTTTTAATTCAGATAATGTTGATGGATTTCTAATTATAAAATATTTATATTTTAATATTATAGGATCATTTGATATAAGTTATAATACACAAAAATTTAATTGGATAACTAATAATATTCAACTTGAAAATCAAAATCAAATTGAATTACTTACTATACATATATATAATGATGCAATAAGTGAACGTAAAGAAGAAAGATCTATGAAAAATATTAAAATAATTAATATACAAAATCAAAATTTAAAATCAATACAAGATTATTTAGATGCATTAAAAATGATTACTTCAATAGAATCATTTCAACCTTATCTTCAAAATTATGTTATACCAATAATTGCTGATTGGCCAGAACAATATTTTATTCGAAAAATTTTAACACATTATTATAAAAAAGTTGATACACCAGACTTTGAAGCTATAAAGGTTCCTGAAATTTTTAGTAATTTTATTCCAATTATTGGACCTCTTCATGTTTCATTAAATTTTTGTGAACAGGTTATTCTTGTTCATTATGCATTTTTTAAAAAATTTTTTCACTACTTGTTTGGTGATAAAAAAAAATTTGCAAAAAAACCTAAACCTTGAAGAATTAATTTATTACTTGAATTAATTCATAATGGATGGAAAAAAATATCACAAAAAATTTTATCAAAATTTAATAATAATTGTAAAGATATAGAATATAGAATAATACTAAATCTTTTGGATAATTTAGTACTAGCAACTTTGGATATATATGCAATTCTTTTTAGATCTGGACACTTCGCACAATATTTTGATACTTTATTTCGATTATAGATATTTGCATTGCGATGTAAAAGAAAAAATTATAATAAAGCACCACTAGCTTTTATTTCTGATTATCTTTATTGGCAAAAAATTAATCATCCTTT